TCATAGTTGCACTTGTGTGGGTATTCTGAGTAAACTGCAAATGGCAGCCTTGTATCAGGTGTTTTTTATGTGCACTAAATTCTCATTTGAGTTCCTTTTGTGTCTTCTCTGTTGTTATGTTTGTGTCCATCTGCATTACAGTCAATATTTTTGTTTATTCTTGTTTGTTTTCTACCTGAAGCATTTTCCCTTCTTTTAGGGATGCAGCTAATGTTGGAGTAAAGCACTGTACAATATTAAAGGTGGAATAATAACCTATATGCGTAGAAATTACTTGGGTGTATACAAAAGTCTCTTCCCCAAAGTAATTTGTTATTTTTAGAAATCAAAGTCAATACCGAAGTTCCTTATTTTTTGTGAAATCCAAGATATCATGGAATGCAAACTATTTCCAATGAGGAGAGTTAAGATTTTAGTCTGCTGTTGAGTTTGAGGGGTGTGGTTTTGCTTTTGCAGCTGCGGAAGTCTATGACTTCTTAGAAATATTTTTTCATCTAAAATTGGGTGATATAATCATCTGTTGCTCCTAAGACAGCATCCTTAACTTCCTTGAAAACTAGGAAGCTGGGACAAATTATAGGAAAGAGCTTGCAGGATATAGCTTTGGGTAAAGAAAACTTGAGTAACGCCCCTGTTCCTGAATCAGTGTCAAATGAAGGGAGTTTCTTTATACTGCAAATAAAGAAATTTGAGTCTCCTTTCTGCCCCACACCCCCCCCCCCCCCAATTTGCAGGCAGGAAGTCTTGGCATGTGATTCTGATTGTGACGTACAGATCTTGAATTGTTTTAATCCTCTGATTAGAGGACTTGTTAGCTCTGGGAAGCTTATTTAACAATTCACCATCTGAATATTTCCAGTTGTCATTCTGTAAAGTTCTTACCACGTGCATGTCTGATAGTAAGGCAGACTTTCTTCAGTTTGAGTGTCAGCCCCAAGGAGTATCCACATTGCTTTTTGTCATAGTTTTCCAGATGTCACAATCACTGCATGGAATTTAGCCTATATATACTGCACTAATATCTAAGCTGTTAACCTGCATGCTTCATTTTACTCGTGTGGCAGCATTTCAGATGTTCTCTCCATTGTAATAGTCCTTGCTCAAATAGGAGTACTTATTTTGAATACTCTTTGATTTTTTTCTCTTCAAATGTCCTGTTTATTTTTCTCTTAGAAAGAGGTATGTATTTCATGCTTGTCATTTCTTGTGTATGCTTTTGTAATAATTTCTCCCTTACACTTGTTTTAATGTAGCCTCATGTTTTAGGCCATCATTCTGCCATATAAATATGCTTCTTCCTTTCAAGTAGGTCTCAGCTAAGTGAGTTGGAGACAAAAATATCCATTGACATAGGCAAGTGTACATCCCTGTGTTATTGTAACAGTTTTTCTTGTGTCTATTAAAACATATTTAGCATTCTTTTCTTGAGCACAAAAAGCATTTTAAAGAATTTCTGTTTTTACTCTCAGTTGCTTCATTCTTTTTCTTCACCTTACTATCTGGAGAGAATGTTAAGAATTGTGATTTGGTAGCTTGGATAGAAGAAGAGCAGTGAGTCATTCAGCAGGTTATAAAAACCCTGAACCTATTGCTGTCATGCGTTGATGTTACCGAATATTTCTTGAATTACGCTGTTTTCCCTGTGTGCAACAAAAAACCCTGCGTTACTTGTAAAGTTACTTTGATAATATACAATTAATTAGTTCTGATTATTTTATGGAACTGATTTTCTTCCCCAGCCACTGATCCAAAAGGCATGGAATCCAGGCTCTGTGGTGTCCTGCTCATCGAAACATGTTTCCTCTTGTTTTGAGTTATTTTCTTCACGTGGTGTAGGTTGTACTTCCCCTCTGGCTTTTCTGGTTCATCTACTCTTTCCAGTAGCTTCAGCATTTGAGGCAGACCTTTGCAACAGCATGGGTTGTTTGAAGTGAGGAGTAATGGTTTGTCACCTGTTTAAAAATAGACTCACAAAAAAACATTACCTAGCATGAATTCTCAGAAGACATCTATTGGTGTTCCTGGATGATCACTTCCTAGCTAAGAAACAAATATACTGTAGTGGAGATGGTTCTGCAAATGCTGGTTGTGGTAGATTCACTCTCTAGAGGGTTCACATCAAGGAGGTCTTAAAGAGCAAAGCAAAAAAAAAAAAAATTTTAAAAAATGGTGTGAGCGTATGTGTTTCCTTTACACTAGCATTAAGTTTACACCTGCTTGATTCCAACCACAATGGCTACTACAGGCAGATGTGTGATGACGGGACAAAGATAGGCCTGGTATCTAGTGAGTCTCTGATGGTATTAGTATGTCTGCAGGAAGTAAAGTACATTGAGGTTACTGGCAGTGGCCACTGTGACAGTGGAGGCTGTAGAGTTGGCTGTGAGGTTTAAGGGGTTTCCTACCTCACTTCTCCTAAATTAAGAAGACTACAAAGCAGATGAATTAGTCAAAGCTGAGGTTTTAAAATTCATCTTCCCCACACACACGCTTTTTCCACAGGCACTTCTGCGTAGTTGCCTTTAGGAGGGAGTACAGTCTGAATCTGTAGAGCACGTTTGGTTTCTAGACATCCTTTGTATAGTAACAACATGTGCTGAGAGGCTGGCAGGCTGTAAGACGCTGTCAGTCCAATTTGTTCTGGCTCCCTCCCTGGCTGAATCTGGTGACATCACACAGATAGATGTGCTTGCGAGAAAAACAGCAGAAGGAGTTGAATGTCTGCCAGAAATTTGCAGTATGAAACGGAGCTGGCTGCTTCCAGTCTTGTTTTCACGAATCTTTCATTGTGTGCTTGCATTTTTCACTTGCCAGGATGTTCTTTGCTGAACAAACAGCAGCAGCAGTGAAATCTCTCCATGCTTAGCATAACAGTCTCACACAGAAGCTTTGGAGGAGTAGCCTTATCTCTACATTCAAAGTTGTTCCAATTTAATAAATTATTCTAAATTGTTTTGAATTCTAGTAGAATCTTATTCTTTATTCCCCTGAACTGTAGCTGATTCGTTTTTTTAAATGTGGTTAAGTGTTTGCAGTTTGTTAGAGATGGTAAATGCAGGAAACATTGGAGCTATAAAGTGTCTTTGATATGATTCTTCCAAAGCTAGACAGTGTCTACTTGTGGACATCAAATTTTGAAGGACTGTGAGTATGAACAGGATGTGCACAAATACTGGCCATAAGAGAGAAAAAAGATTATCTTAGACTGTTGACTGTACAGAGGTTCCATAAAATTCTCTTTGATTAAATAAATTGCTCATGAACTTCCTGCAGGGAATGCATTAAATAGTTTACTTCTCTAAGAAGTTGCATGAATATCCCAGCTTTGCTTTAACAAATGGTAGCGGATAGCCACTGTTAGATGAGGCCAGCTGTGTCTCTTGATCTTTTTCAGTGAAATGGTATATACCTTTCTGCTCCTCTTGTTCACGGAAAAGTGTTTATATTCACAGAAAAATAATTGCAAGACAGCTAACGAAATTCACTGCTAAGCTTTGCTAGTCAATAACCTATAGAAAAATAAGAGATAGAGAGGACCGTAACAAATGTAATTGTTCATGTCTTCTAATGTGTCACAAGGAATATGCAGCTATTATGGTCATATAAAAATTTTGTAACTACCTCGGTCATGTAGCTGTAAGTCATATATAATCATATGAAGCTATCACTGTCATTGAACCTGAAACAATTCAAATGTGAACTGCTAATACAATAAATGCCCCATAACTTGTATACAGGTCTGCAGGGGCCGTAGTAATGCTGCTTTTGTAATGCAAGAGCAAAGTATATTACACTACAACTAGTGAAACAGAGTTGTAGAAAACTCCTTGATACAACGTTGGCAGTCATGGTATTATCATTAAAGTTTAGTTACATGATCACTTGAATTAGCTTTATTTGTATGTCATCTTTTCCTACAAATTAGTTTTCTTCTGGCTAATGTCATATACTTTGCTGCAGCTACGTGAAAATTTTGGAGGGGAAGTTGGATAGAAGCATAGTTACGTGCAGTTTAATGACGTTAAGTGGCTTGCAAATGCAGTGTAGGCATGAGCATGCAAGTGAAAATGTGTGGACTGGGAAAGTAATTTTGAGGTTTATCCTTAGTGAAACAGGATGGCGGTATGATGAAATACATCAGACACAAGCTTACTTGCTTGTATCCGTTTTCTCATCCTCACTGTGCTTTAGTGCCATGTTGTTGTTACATTATAATCAAATTCTAAAACAGTTCATCAAAGTGATCAGCTGCCCTGGATTGCACAACTGCTTCAAGTTTTTCCTTCATGTCAAACAGAAAAAAGAAAAATAATTCTTCCCGTTGTCATACTAGTTAGTGTCCAGCATATACAAAGCTGAATGAAAGTAGTTGAAATGACAAGGAAAACATTGGAGTTGTTCAGTTTCAGTGTAACTGTGATGCTGAAATTGAACTCTAATATCAGAATTTGATAAAGGGAAATGTTTCCTTTTTACAGCCAAGGCAATCAAAGCAAAGACAAGTAGAGAATATTGTCATCATTGTTGATAAGGCTGAAATGTCAGTGCTGCGTATCATAGGTTTAAATGCAGCTTATTTCTTTATAATAGATATAAACTGTCAATTTTTTTTAATTCATTTGATTCTTTGATTAATAAGTATGTGGGACTGCAGTGTTTAGTGCCACAAGATTTCCCTCATTCATTTTTTGACAAGTTAAGGCACCAACTCTCTCTAATTTTGCATTCAGTTATGTATTAATTTATAGCCCTCTAGCTTTCCCCTAGCCCTGGAATTCCAATCTCTTTTGTACCTTGGATTATGCCTTTTGTCTTTGGAGTTCTAACTTCTATCCAGGTTACAGTAAATGCAGTATTGTGTGGTGAGAACCAGCTAAAATCTGAGACACAGTGTATATTACATACAGCTTACATGTGATGTAGATGCCTGCATGATTTTGTGTGTTATAATTTGCTCCCTTGATATACTCAGTGCTTTTGTTGTCTGGTTTTTTTCACAGCCGGTTGCTGAACCAATTCCAATCTGCAGCTTTTGCCTTGGTACAAAAGAGCAAAATCGGGAGAAGAAACCTGAAGAGCTCATCTCTTGTGCTGACTGTGGCAACAGTGGTAGGTGCTGCTCGTAATAACCCGTCTACTTGAGACAGAAGAGCTTGGTGTAGTGACTGCTACTGACGCATACGCATGAGGCGTTTGCATTTAATAACAACATTGCTACTTGAGACAGAGAAGTCTAGTATAGTGACTACTCCTGACCCGTGCATATAGGGAGTATACATCTATGGTGTATAATACAGTTAGTTCAGCTGACTCTCATGCTCCCAGAGGGTAGACAGTTAAGTTAACCTAGTGCAAATAGTTCATTTGGCTCCTGGAAGTTTCTTTTAAAATGTGGTAATGATGACCAGTTTCATCATGTTTCTCAATTCAGTTATGAAAGATTTATCATATTGTTCTTTTGTATGTGGGTCTGACACTTGCTGTCTAGGGTATAATTTTTTGTGTTATAGGTAGATAAGAATAGAAGCACCTAAAACCAAGAGTGTCTGGATAACCAAAATTCTGCACGGGAATAAGTACTCGATAAAGTAATTTATCTGAGAGCTATCTGTGAGCATTAACAACAGTGGAATGGTTTTATGGGTGTAATTTTCTCTTTTTTTTTTTTTTCTGTAGGTCATCCGTCCTGTTTGAAGTTCTCTCCAGAGTTGACAGTTCGAGTGAAAGCCTTGCGATGGCAGTGCATTGAGTGCAAAACATGCAGTTCCTGTCGAGATCAGGGCAAAAATGCTGTGAGTACAATGAATATAAACTGAAGAGGGTATCAGTCTTGTGGATGTTCTGTTAAACTACAAGATAAAATCATTATAGAATCAAATATTTGAAGCTTTTGTTTGAATCTGGTAGTTTTTCTGAGACCTATGAAATACCATGATATGTCTGTAGTTGAAAGCTACGTACATGTTCTCTGAGATGGTAGCAAATTAATGAAGGGCTTGATGATGATGCACATCTAAAGAGTTATTGCCTTTATCTGTCTTCAACAGGATAACATGTTATTTTGTGACTCATGTGACCGTGGCTTTCACATGGAGTGCTGTGACCCCCCGCTTACCAGGATGCCAAAAGGTGAGGGCTTTGTGATGAAAAGGGTAATTTAAGATGGTGTTGGAAGAGATCAGTGGTTGGAAAGAGCTTCCACGTATTTGGTCCTCTTTTTTTTAGCAACGTTTAACTTGTTCTTTACAGCATTGCTTTTCAGTATTAGAAACTAGAGAAGACATCTGGATTTTCCACTGTCCCCTGCTTCCTGTACGTTTCTCTCTGTGAAGGGTTTTGAAAAATGTCTTTGAGGTTTGAGGGAGTAGAAGTGATCCTTCCAGCGTAAAACGATCAGCTATCATTTGAATGCATAGCTTTGCGCAGAAGAAAGTGATGGGCTTCTAAGTTTTTGAAGTCGTATCCATTTCAACAGTAGAGAATCCTGGAGTAGAACTAAACGTCTCTTTTCCATCAGAAAGCAGGTTATCTATGGAAGATTCTTCCTTTGTATTTAGATGAAAATTTTCACGTGGAAGATGGTTGGAAGTAGTGTATTCATAAGCAGAATATGGGATAATGAAATATTTTACTTTTTTATGGTTTCCTGATAACGCACTGTGAATTAAAGAGACTTCCTGTCTGGCTGTGCGAAGTGTTTCTGGGGGTGCGTGTGTGTGAAATTAACTGGGCTTGAGTTTAGATTGCTGGAACATACATATAATTTTCCTTACATGTATGTGTGATGATTGGGGCCTTTGGTACTGTTCCTACCCTTTCTGTCAGAAGGCCTGGGACTTGTAATTCTCCTTTTTGTCCTATGTAGATGTCCCTTGCATTCAGTGATGGTGACATGTGTCTTATAGGTATGTGGATATGTCAAATATGCCGGCCACGGAAGAAAGGAAGAAAGCTCTTGCACAAGAAGGCAGCACAGATAAAACGACGCTATGCTAACCCAATAGGACGTCCCAAAAACAGGTTAAAGAATCAAAATACAACGTAAGTCTCTCTATAAGGAAGAGTAAGGTGTGAGATTCTATAGAGGAGTGGGGATTTCTGAACTGCCTGGTCTGCTCTGAAAAGATTTCTTGTACAATGAAGAGCTTTTCATTATTCTTTAATACAGAATTTCTGAAGAGGGCTGTGAAAGACTAGAAGTAATCTCAGTGCTGCTTTTTTGCCTAGATTTTTGACTCTTTGTAATAACTTACTATTTGGTTTTGACCTATCCCTTATAGTCATAGATGAATTTTGCTGTTCGTGTCAAGTCTGTTTTGCTGGATGGCTGCTGCTTCCAGCATAATTGTTTTGCTTTGCATTTCTCAAGAACCCTTTCTGATGTTTAGAGAAATTAAGTAACCTACAGTAAAGCACGTGAGATCGTTGTTTGGCATATATTTATTCTGACATTATTGCCGGAAAATATTTGGCCCTATTCTGCTTCAGTTTAACATGTGTTTGCATTTGTGGAGCAGTCTGTTGTGCTGGGACAGATTGTGTGGCCTTGTCATGCTGATTCTGAGGCAGCCAGTCATCAGGGAATTGGATTTGGGTGGGCAGGAATTATTTGGATAACTGTTCAGCCAGAGCAATTTTCTTGAATTGAAGTTGTTGTTCAGTGCTTGTTGTGATGCAGCACTATTGACAGTGCAGAGGACAAAGCAATGCAGGAGCACGTCACAGGAACTTCTGTTTGAGCATCAGATCAGCTTTAATAATAATAATAATAATAATAATAATTTTTTTAAAAAGTCTAATTACCTCTTGATTCTAACCAATAGCACCAAAGGATGTTCTAGAGAAAAAACTTCACAGAGTTTAATGCGTATAAAAACATAGAATGTCTCTCTTAAAAGCCCTATCTTTTTTTTTTTTCAGTTTGTGTGATACCTTTGCTTAGAGGAACTCCCCATATAATTGAGAGAGGCAAAAAGAAAGCTAGCTATCTTCTATTGCTCTTTTGTCTCTCTTAATTTTTATCTTTCTATTTATTCACACTTTTTTTGCCTTTGTTCCATCCCTTCACTTGCAAAATATGTCAACAGAATTATGCACAGATGCTTAGTTTTACTTTTTAGGGAGGAGCAGCCTATTTCTATACTCTGTAACTGCAGTGATTGTGGCTAAAGCCAGTCAGCTTTCTGGCCACCAAGAAGTGTTTAATACTCAGTTATTTCAATAGAGTTTTAAAATTTCCAGCCTGAAAGGTGGCAGCTGGTTGGAGGTCAACACTGTTTTCTGTTAGATGATCATCAGTGGTATAGGCTCTTAGCTAACATGTATGTCCTGTGTGCATTAACTTTCTGTGTAGTTCTTACAATGATTTCCTATCAGTACAAAAACTTTGACAAATGACCGTTGTATATGTTTAATGACTGTACAATGTATTCTTTCTGGCTACTGATTTTAAAATAGGACGTTATTTTAATTTGGGGAAAATCTATTTATGCTCAAATTAATTGCAAGTGATGTTCAGTGTGGAGAAAAATAGCACAGTACTTCTACAGAGATGTTTAGAATCCTGGTTTCTGTAGGGTACAGACTGTTGATTACTCCCTTCCTATTAGATTTTTCAGTTCACGTTTAGCTTCTGTGTGATCAATAAATAAGATTTGCAGCAGCAAAACAAGCCACCTTACGAAACCTTCTGACCGTATCTTCTCCCTTCTCATACTTCAGATCAAAAGTCGCTTTCAGCAAAGTTCGAACTGGCCCTGGTCGGGGTCGGAAGCGTAAGATCACTCTATCCAGCCAGTCAGCATCATCAGAAGGAGGATACCTGGAGCAGGCAGATGTCTTGGACTTCTGCAGAGATGGCAGCACCACCTTGAAGTTTAACAAGAAAACCAAAGGGCTTATAGATGGCCTTACAAAATTCTTCACTCCTTCCCCTGATGGACGAAAAGCTCGAGGGGAAGTGGTAGACTATTCTCAGCAGTATAGGATCAGGAAAAAGGGTACCAGGAAATCTAGCACTTCAGAATGGCCCACAGGTAAAAATTTTTCACCCTGCCAATGTAAGTGTCATGTACACCAAGAATATGTTCAAAGACTAGGATGTTGAAGTGACTAGAATCGTTAGAGGCTGGAAAATTTGAGCTGAAGGTTAATACTCAAATACAGTTATCTTTGGTGCATTCAGGTAGAATGCTAGTTGGAATAAGGAAGCGATCCTAAAGACCTTTGCCTCTTTTCATATGATGGCAAGGTGTTATGAGGGATTGAATGACTACTGTGAGATAAAATGGCCTTTGGTAATGAGGGGCTTGCAGATAGCCATAGGAAATGGGCTAAATAATGTCACATTTGAAAGAAGTAACATAGGGAGTGATCAATGAAAATAAGAACAGCAAGGTAAAAGTATGAAATGAGATACAGATAATTAAAACCCATCTGACAGACCCATGAGTTTCTGATCTATGGTACAGGCTTGCATGCAGATGTTTCTTAATTTCCTCAGCCATAGAGAAGCCTGCATCATGCAGTTTGGCACCTTCTTGCTGGGAGAGCATCCCTTCATTTGAATGCAGTTCTGCGTAAGACATTAATCTAAGACTGGACCTCGATTTTATCTCTGTATTCAGGTCTTCATAGTCTTGTCGAATAGTTTCATAGCTTGAATTGTTCCTAAGTAAGCAGTAGGAAATACTCCACAGTAATGCACAAGGTTTACACCTTTAAAATAGTTATGTGTATTAGCCTGGCTGGTGCTGGAAGAACAATAATGTGCCTTCATGCTTTAGGGGTGAGGTGAAGTGTCTTGAGGGTTTTGTTTGCTTGTTTTTGTGGAAAGGGTGTTTCTTGGGTGTTAAACGTAAGTGTCTTGGTTTTGGTTGCACTAGATAGGCATTTAAATAGTTGCTATCTTTGTGAGAAATGGGCATACTGGTAAGCCATTTATCCCAAACTGTCTCATTGTTACAAGTGCCTTTGTGATACTATGAGTATCTAAGTGATGAGATTTGGGCCTGGTTAAATATATGCCAGTACTTCTTACTTGGTCATAAATCTAGAACTGGTTCTTCCTTTGTGGTCCCAAATCTGAATAGAAAAATCCCATTAAAAAGAATCTTGGCACGGCATCTGAATACAGCCAGAAGATGTTTGTCACTGCACTAAAACGCAAGTACTCCTTTGCAAATGTAGATGAAGACAATTTTCTCTCTCATTTACAGACAATCAGGATGGCTGGGATGGAAAACAGGAAAATGAGGAGCGCTTTTTTGGGAGCCAGGATGTCTTAACTGAGAAAGACATGGAGTTGTTTAGAGATATTCAGGAACAAGCACTGCAGGTAAAGTTAAATTTTCGGTGTCTGACTGTAAGTACCAAATCTGTAAAAGAAATTTATTAAATTTTTACAATCCAAAACAATCACCCCAACCCAACAACAAAAAACCTAAGAAATACAGACTCCAAATGAGTCAGTCTGTCATAGAAGCTAATGTGCTTGTTTTCTGCTGCTTGAGAGTGATGGGGAACTGATCACAAAAGAGCTGAAGCATAATATAAAGGTGAGCATTTAAAAAAAAGTCTCAGTGTGTACATCATTGAGCAAATCAGTGTGTCTTGTGACTATAATTATGCTTTAGAAAATAACTGAAGATCTGAAATGAAATCTATGGAAATATGTCAAGATTAGAGAAAATACTAATCTCCAAACATCTGCTTAGGAAAAGGAGCAAAATTTTATGAGTGGTTTTGGTTGTTTTTTTTCCACCCTGTGTGGGGAAAATACTTGTCGTAGACTAAATACTTTAAATTTAAGGTGGCCAGTTTGTTGGTTTTGGTGAGAAAAGGGTTGACCAGAGTTGCGATGCGGCTGATACAGGGACCTGGTGCAGGTACACTGAGCTAACTGCCTCACCAAAGAAAATGGAAATACAGTGTGATGTATCAAAGGCTTTTGAGTGAGCTGAGGAAAAGATAACTGCATATTAAATGTTGAAGAGTAAAGTCATTCAGAGCTATCTGCAGCTAGTACAGAGGCAGAAGCAGTAGTCTGCTGTTGAAGGCTTTCTCCTAACGGCTGTGATGTGTGGACAGTTGTGGAAGCTGGGTCTCTACATTTGTGTTGGGCATTGATTTGGAGGAAGCGCAGGACCCCTCGAAGGTGCATGTTACTCTGTTTTCCTTTAGACTTGTCAGATGCCTTTGATAATTGTGTTTGTTATTGGCCTATTGTACTGGGCGATAATGGCAATTCCTTTGAAACTACAGTGCAGGAAGTGCATAACTATAGGTTATCATAGCTATTAAGAGCTGCCTTCATAAACTGCTTTTTTGGTGATTTGTTCTGCCAAGGAATGAGATTGTGTGTAGCACACAACCTTGTATCAGTTACCAAAAATGCAGAGGTTGTGCTTTCCTTTCCTCATAGAATCCTCACAGATAGCAAAAGATTTAGCACTCAAGGTTGTGCTTATTTAATAGTGTTGTCTTAATTATTTTATTAAATACTAGGGAGTTTGTTCTGTTAAATCTGTCTGAATATTGTTTTGGTCGATACATACAAGTAGTACATATCAGTATCTTCCCAGCTCCAAGACTATGTGTTGTGTTAGACACTTGAATATTCTAGGTCTTAACTTCAAGAGCAGTTTATGTATTTCTCTTATTGGATATTGAAATAACAAAAAAGGAAATGGCAACGAGACTGAAAAAAGGTTGTATTAAATTTTGCTGTCTACTGATTAGTATTTAAAACTATGACATGGAACAGTGTGAAGCACAGTGAAGGTATGTGGTATGGCGATGCTTACTGAATCTTCCTTTTGTGAATTACATGCTTTCTTGAAGTGTGTCTGGCACTGGTTTTTTAGCATCAGAAGGCAACATCTGCATCTTCTTAATTCTCTGTGACTTTGAGTAGGATGGATTGTGTAGATGAAAGTGTTTTAATTTATTTCAGCTTAGAAGTCTTTTGCTTGAAATTAATGAAAACTTTTCTTTCCCCTTGCACAGAAAGTAGGGGTGACTGGGCCTCCTGATCCACAGGTTCGATGCCCTTCTGTCATTGAATTTGGCAAGTATGAAATCCAGACCTGGTACTCTTCCCCATATCCACAGGAATACTCGAGGTAAGACTGAATGTTCTTCTCCTTTGTTCTTCCTCAGTGTTTATGGGAAAGCTGTACTCCAGCAGGTGTGGAAATCTTAAGAATATTCTATCTGAATGTAGAACAGAAGCAAAGTACACATAATCCAGATACTTGTTATGGTAGTCAATAGATGTCTTAAGGTCTTGATAAGCTCTTTGCAACAACCTGCACATGCTGTGAGCATTCGGACTGCCACAGGAATACGTGATTAGATGGATTCCCAAAGAACTGACATATTCCATGCTCTTGAGGAGAGAGCAGCCTCAGCTAAGTGACTTGGTACTGGGCTGTTACTGTGCATGTGATTAGAGTATCTGACTGTTAGAGTACGCTGGTTCTTTACATGTAGTATCATAGAATGGTTTGGATTGGAACAGACCTTTAAAGACCTTCTAGTCCAACGCCCCTGCTGTGGGCAGGAACATCTTTCACTAGATCAGGTTGCCCATAACCCTGTCCAGCCTGGCCTTGATCACTTGCAGTGATAGGGCATTCGCAGTTTCTCTGGGCAGCCTGTTCCAGTGTCTGACCACTCTTACTGTAAAAAAAGTCTTCCTTCTAAATCTACCCTCTTTCAGTTTAAAACCATTGCCCCATGTCCCATCATTTCAGGCCCTGGTGAAAAGTCTCTCTCTCAGCCTTTCTTATAATCCATCCTAGTGCTTCACTAGTGCATAACTGGGGGTTTTTTTGCTGGTTTTTTCCTAGGATTTTAATAGATGCATGTATTTCTTCTGTCGTGACATAATAATGTAAAAGTAATTATGCAGGACACTTAAGTACATTTGTTACTTATTCTGTGACAAATGCATATTAAGTGCCATGACTTTAAGTAAGATGTTTTTGGCCTGATTAGCACATTCACAATATCAGTATATACTGAGTTTGTTTTCATCAAGTTCTCTATCTGCAGGAGTGAGGAATTTTATACAGAAATCTGTATCTTCAGTCTCTGATCTCTCTTTATTCTTGCTTACAGGCTACCCAAGTTGTACCTTTGTGAGTTCTGTCTAAAGTATATGAAAAGCAGAACTATTCTCCAACAGCATATGAAAAAATGTGGCTGGTTTCATCCTCCAGCCAATGAAATTTACAGAAAAAACAATATTTCAGTCTTTGAGGTAAGTTAGAAAAGCAAGCCACTCACTTCTACCTATAAAACAGGGTCTTCAGCACCCAATCATGTGGTAAGTTTTTTATAGCCCTAAAGATCTTCATTCTTGAACTGTTTGGTTGTCATGAGTGAACAACTACAAGCAAGCAGTGGGAGCTGACCTCCTGTATAAATCATTCATCCATAAAACATATGAGAAGTCTTGCTCTGTAGAAATGCTTTTTCATTTTAGGAAAATAAATTTTGAGATCTCTCTTAAGCTAATGAATTTAACTGACTTGGCCATGGCCTGTATGCTGTGGAAGTTTAAGTCCTTTGAGACGCCACCTGTGACAAATAAATAAGTCTTCCTCCAAATATACAGGGATTCCTTCAAATATACAGGCATACCCAGGTGAAGTATGTCTTTGCATGGCAGCAAATGGAGTGACAAAACTTTTCCTCATTTCTACAAGGTTGATGGAAATGTCAGCACTATCTACTGCCAGAATTTGTGCTTGTTAGCCAAACTCTTCCTGGACCACAAGACACTCTATTATGATGTGGAGCCATTTCTTTTCTACGTGCTGACACAGAATGATGTCAAGGGCTGTCACCTTGTTGGCTACTTTTCCAAGGCAAGTATTTGCATACTTCAGGCTTGGAGCTGTGTTTGCTATGGTGAGAGATGCTGCTTCAGTGACTTTAAATTGTTGTAATTTAGGCCCTCATATAATACATCATGTAATGTAGGTATAGACATCTGTTGCAAACAGATTTGATTCGTGTTAAGTTTGGTGACCACCAGCTAATAAAACCAAGTTTCCTCATAAATGTTCAATAGTGTATATTCTGTAAGCCACTTGTACTGCAGCTGGTAGCTAAAAAAGCTCCAACACTTCATATGACTTCCAGCTCTTGGTGGTGATGGGTAGTACTGTTTGAGAGAGAAACTTCTTTGTTATCAAGTAGTTCTATCTTATTTTTGCTTCTGTAATTACATTGTTTTCTGAACAAGTTTGGCAGTTTTGCACCTCATTTCGAACTTTTTTTTTTAATGGAACAAAGCCAAGATTTCAGATTTTCTTAAGACTTTTATCTGTAATGGTTTTATGTATTTTTAAATAGCTTTAATTGAAGCTTTTCCTTTCAGTCTTCAGCAGATTTGAGATTGGATTTTCGTATGTTACAGCTATGATGCTTAAAGTTTCACCAGAATGCTTTTTCAGTGAATTTGGCTGCCTTCAGATTTGCGTTTGAAACTGTGCTATTCAGCCCGTGTTCTTTACTGTATTGTGTCTAAGCAGAAGGTGGTAGTTATGTCAAGTTTTCATTCTTTTTGTTTTTCTGGACTGAAATGATGGTAATAGAGTTTTAATATTATTCTCTTTTAAAGTCTTTTCTTGGCTTGTGTACGTTGTTGTCCCTAAGAAACTTTGACTGTGGCTTTCTGTCTCAGTTTTTACTGTAGAAGGGACTTGTACAGAACAACTACTACTATTTCTCTCAGGTCTCTTTTTTTTTTTTTAATTTGCTGTTTGTTTGGTTTTTTCCCCCAACAGGAGAAACACTGCCAACAGAAGTACAATGTTTCCTGTATAATGATTCTTCCACAGTACCAGCGTAAGGGCTATGGCAGGTTCCTAATTGACTTCAGTAAGGAACTTTTTCTTCACTTTTTTAGTCTTTGTCTTTTCATATCTTAAAGAAAGGCTCAACTGTGGAAGAGGGTATTTTTCAAATTAAGGAACATCTTGGGACAAAGGATTCTAAAGCTCTCAAAATTATCTGAACTTCACAGTTTACTCTTTTGTTGGGTGGCTTCAATTCTAAAGGCAAACTGATCATTTTTCCTGTAATTCTCACGTTTCCTGTGTAAGCAACTTACTGTTACGCATCTGTATAATGTTTTTAGCAGATGCTTACCTTGCACATACCATTCTTTCTACAGAAAGCCAACCCTAAAACTGCAGAGTCTTCAGCACCTTGATTAAGTGAATTAGTGTCTTAAGCAAAAGGTAGTCATAGTCATGTTTTAATTTAGCTCTGAGACCAACAAAACCAGACGTACTTAGGCTCTGAATACTCAAATACTTCTCAGATTCGTACATGAATCTCAGCAAGTTCACAGGGAAACTTGCCCCTGGAACGATATCTCTTTTATTATGCTGAGTACAATCTAATATATCTCACCCTGTGGACATGCTAATTTTGGAGTTAATGCACAGAGGAAAAAAACCCTACTGGCATCATTATAATAGAGTGATTTTGCTAGTAAATATCCTTGTGTAGATAAGTTATTCTCCAGAACTCAGTGATATCTGTTGAGAAGTTGACAAATGGGGGCTATATTAGAGCAGCAGTGAGAAGACACACTTGTCAGCTGGGGAGGATATAACTTCTTGGTCTTTATTGAACCTCTGCAGAATATTAGAGTCTTAAATTAAGTCTCTGCAGATAGAGCTTGGTACTCTCTGGTATGGCCTTGAAGTTTGGCAGCAGAGAATTTTCAAGAAAATAGTTTGCTGTACTAGTTTTAAATGGCTAAAATATGTTTTCCCCCTCTGTCATCTTCAAAATTGTTATTGCAAGTGGAAGATACTCAGCAGACTCTGTACTTCAGGCTTAGCATAGTTTCTAGGTAGGCAACTGCTGCCATCTCGTGGCATTGCCCATAGCCAATGTCTGATGGTGATGTAGTTTAGAATCTCATATTGTATCACTGAAAAACAGGAGTTACCAGAAAAAACCCAAAACAGCCAGACCACTCAGTGTATCCTTCAAAATGATAATCTATTTTTTGTAGACAGCATACAGCTACTTTCTGGAAAAATGCCTTTGTAGAGTTGGAGTGGAAACAGAAGCTATATATGCTAATTTTTTTTTCTTATTAATATCTTCAGGCTATTTGCTTTCAAAGCGTGAGGGTCAAGCAGGATCACCAGAGAAGCCCCTGTCAGACCTGGGGCGCCTCTCATATATGGCTTATTGGAAAAGTGTAATATTGGAGTGCCTTTATCATCAACATGACAAACAATTGAGCATCAAGAAATTGAGTAAGCTGACTGGAATCTGCCCTCAAGATATCACTTCCACTCTACATCATCTACGAATGCTTGACTTCCGTAGTGATCAGTGAGTACAGGAGCCCTGTGGTATTTCCAAAGAGCTTCATACGTATTTGAATCAAATTTAATGGTGTTTGGAGAAGTCATATCTAATAAGCTTTATTTTATTTAAGACTCAAGTGTCTAAATACCGGCCCATGTGTGATGCAAGAATGTGCAGTGCCAAAGCTGGATCAGATTTCCAGCTGTGTCGTTCTGCAGCTGTGGAACTTCTGAGAAATTTGCAGCTGTGAGAGAAAGCAAGCTGGTCTCTTGGCCATGTTCTCTTCAGGTGTCCCAGTATAGTCAGTCCAACATAATCACAAAATAAAGCAAAGAACAGCAGCTTCCCCTCTCTAGAGGAAAATCTGTTCCTTTGTGCAGTCACTGAGCAGACGGTTTTCCCCTTTTCTCTGTTCCTCAAAGATGCCATTAACTGTGTGGATTAACATGGGATGCTTGGAGAGTGGGACAGATCACTGGGAGAAATAAGAGAGAGAATAGAAGTAGTCTGCCTGCCCAGCTGAGTGTTCAAGTCAAGGGAAATACTGGGAATTTTTCTTGATTCAGACCATAGCATTTTGGCGAGTGGGATTGTATTCCATTGTGTTTTGTGTTCAACTCGGAACTTATTTGGAAAACTTGAAGTTATTTGAGAACAGCTTTATGTCCTCATTTCACAGTATACTTTAATCAGTGATGTTCTTCCCAGTCTCCTGAATAAAATCCTTTCCGGTACTGGGACTAACTTTTTAAAGCAGTCCTTTTATTTACCATTCAGTATCTTTCACTTTAAGTTGCCTGTTCCCCGAATGGCATACCCCTTGTCTGTTTAACGCATAATAAAAGTGGTACTCTGCAGCTGGATGCTACCCATGGGAGGATAACGGCTTCACCATTAACAAGAAGTGGAAAGAATTTAACAATGCTTTCTCCTTCTCTGGAGACATTCAAAACCCACCTGGAGGTGCTACTGTGTGATCTTCTCTAGGTGATCCTGCTCTAGCATGGGGGTTTTTATGAGCTTTCTGTCCTCTCTGAAGTTATTAATGGCAGGACTAATTGAGAGTACACAAATTTTTCTGTAGTATCTTAATCTGCTTTGCACAACAATGTGTATAGTATGTAGCCTGTTGTTGATTGGAGTATTATTACTATTTAGATTTGTGATCATTCGTCGGGAGAAGCTTATCCAGGAACATATGGCAAAGCTTAGAACTAATGTCCGACCAATAGATGTGGATGCAGAATGTCTGCGTTGGACACCTGTTATAGTTTCCAACTCAGTTGTCTCTGAAGATGAAGAAGAGGAGACAGAGGATGGAGAAACTGAAGAGCAACAGCAGCAGAAAGAAAAAGATTCAGAGACCAGTGTAAGAGCGAATCTGTTACTTCTGTGTGGCAGCTAGTTTACACTCGGTGCTTTTGCAGGCAATGCTAACAAGACTTTACATGGCAAGGTTGGGCATTTGGCATAATTGCAAAAAGCAGTGCAGTTGTGATAAGTTAATGTATCTGGATAGTTTCAGATTAAAAACTACAGATAGGGGAAACACTGAGGCAAAGTCTAGAGAAGGGTTGAAGACTTTCTCTGAAAAGAGTAAAAAGTCTCTTTCTACCATTAATGATTTTTGCAGTATGCGGAGGGGTGTTGTTAAAAAACGGACAAACCCAAACAAAAAAAAACAAAACCAAACAAGCCCCACAACAAACAAAGCAAAAAAAAAAAATGCCTCCCACTCTCAGGTAACCTGGTCTCTCATCAAATTATTGAACCGAATTTCAGAGACTCAGTATTTCTGTAAGTGATAAACAGCGTAAATGGAAATGAATCATCAAAAACTTGTTCTAACATTTATCACCAAGTGTTTTTGCTCTGTAGTTTTGCAAAACTACTACTACAGTTAGTGCCCACAGAGCAGTGAAGGTTTCTGAAATCTAGACTGCTGTCCTGGCAGGATTGCATTCTCACATCAGGTGATCAGCACTGACTAGAATACTAAGGGGTAAATTATGTGCTGTTATTATATTTACAGTAAACTAATTGTGCATTTTAATGGAAAATAGCTTCAAGTTTGTCTCACTTTTTTCTAGAAAATTACACAAATACTGTGTTTGAATGTAGCAAGATGGTGTTTGCATTTCAGCAGGCCACTGGATGGCTACTGCTGACTGAAGTAATTCGTTGGGAAGTTAATTGAGGTACATTATCACCTGGGAGGAAAGGAGTAGCAGTTAGCACTATTAGAATCTTGTAATGGTCAATTATTTTGCTATTATCCGATTCTTAAAACTCATTCTTAAACTTTTCTGACTTCTTGCTCAAAAGCTTCTGTAGAATTGAGTTCAGGATGGATATGCATGCAGAAATAGGAAGATGCATGCTTAAATAGGAAGTGTGAAATTTATTTGTTTTTATTTAAAGCAGATGGTAAAATCTGTGTCATGGGAGAAGAAAGAGCAAGAGCCTTACTCTCCTACAGAGAGTGAAAAAAAGCCGGACATTGTTGCTCCAGCCAATTCTGCACGGCCAAACAAGCACATTTTTCCCCTGGATAGTCTTCCTGCAAACAGTCAGCCATCACGAAGAGGTCGATGGAACCGCAAGGGCAAAAGACTTCGGGAGCCCTTTTGTGAGGAGACGTTATTGCCCATTGAAGACAAAACAGCAGTTCCAAGCGGGCGATGCAGTGAATGTGAGGAGAAATCAGCAGCCTCACGAGGCCGGTGCAGTGATTGTGAGGAGAAATCAGCAGCCTTGCAAGGAAGATGTGGTGAATGTGAGGAGAAGTCTCCAGCCCCAAGAGGCCGGTATGCTGAAGATGAGGAAAAATCTGCGGTTTCCCAGGGACAGTATGGCAAAGGTGAAAAATCTGCAATTCCCCGTCGGCGGTACAGTGAAGGTATGGAAAGGTGGAGAGGGCAACTGAAAAAGAACACAGAGCCACTGAAGTGCAGATTCCCGGAGGACTGCGACAGATTACCCCGCCGCTACAGTGATAGTGATAGGGCACTTCTGAGGTGTTTTAGTGAGAGTAGCGAAGAGGATGATGAGCCTGTGAGTCCTCGGTCAAGCTCTCCACCTGTTCTCACCAAGCCAACGTTAAAACGAAAGGTGTGTGCCTTATTTCTTGTCTCTGACTATATCATGCAGTCTGTTTTGTCAGTACACTGGTGCTTTCTGAAGGATTGTGCCATTCGCAAGATATGTACTAAGCATGCAGGTAGCATCTACTCAGTGTTTCAGAACTCTGTCTGGAGGGTACTTTCTGCTGCCTTTTTGTAGTGGTGGTTTTTGTTGAATAATAGGTAGGGTTGTTTTTTAATTTTAGCTTCTGCCTTGTGCCTTTGCTTTTTCTACCTTGGTTATTAAAGGTTTACTCATTAATGCAAAATAGAAACAGATATGGTCCTACCTTTAAAAGAAGCCTGCAAAACAAATGCTATCTAAACAGCTAAAATCACTGCATAACTTCTTTGGAATGATGTACCTCAGAGATGTGAATCCTATCAACGTGACCAAGAAAATCCTCTCTTCGTGGGATGCTGCACGAAAAAGCTCTCTTCTATATAAACTTTGTAGCTTACTCTAAACTATTCACATCTATGGTGTAGAGTCTCTGAACTTTCAGCTGTTATGGATGGGCTGTTAATTTCAGCTGTTTGAATGGTTTATACTATTACACGAATATCAATCTAGCAATCTTCATGGAAGTCGGTCCTCTTGCATTGTATTTGACGTATGTCTAACTTAAGGCAGGTGCTAATCAGGATTTCTAGTGAAGTCTGGATTCCAGAAGTGAGCCCTCTGGTCCTACTTAGACTGTTGAACTCTGCTCTTCATTTTTTATGTTTATCAGTGTTTTATTTCTACTGCATGTGGTAAAAGTGTCTTCTTCCACTTTCAGAAACCAATTCTTCATCGGAAGAGGCGAGTCCGCAAGCGTAAGCACCACAACAGCAGTGTTGTCACTGAAACAATCTCGGAGACCACAGAAGTGCTGGATGAACCATTTGAGGACTCAGACTCTGAACGACCAATGCCCCGATTAGAGCCTACATTCGAGATTGAGGAGGAGGAAGAGGAGGAAGAGGACGAAGAGGAGGAGAATGAACTTTTGCCCAGTGGATACTTTCGGCACTTAGCCCCACCAGACACACTCAGGCATAGACCCTCTTCTAAGAGGAAGTCCAAAGATGACGAGGAGTCTGATGACACTAATGGTATGTTTGGTGGTATGCTGTTGAAAATTTGATATAGATAGCCTGTCAGTGAGTGTCAGATGATACTAGGTCATGATGGAACAAGCTGCTTACCTTGTCTTGTAACTGCTAGCCTAAATTCACGGTTAGGCATAAATTACCAGCCTCAAACATTCCCAAGTCTTATGAAACTGTGGTGCATGCTTTGAACTATCTTATTAGCAATGACCCGATCACAGGGTATGCTTTTGATTCAGTTTTTCTAGTGGAATTGGCATCTGTGATTATGGAAAAACTTATGCAGCGGGATCACTTACAGAAATAAAATAGAAATCAATTGAAGAGCCCTCAGTTTTCCGTAACAAAGGGAAATAATAAATTGTCTCTTTTGAGATCCTGTTCTTCATCACATTGCATGTCCTGCCTCTTGGCTTCTCATATCTCCTTCAGTTCTCTGAACCTTCAGTTCATAAAATAAAATTATTTGGTTAGAACTGGTTACTTAGAGTGCGCTGACAATTCAAAAGAAACATCTGTCATTCAGATGCTCTATTAGTAATCTTCTTTATGGCTGTTGTATGTTCCGTTCTCTTGATGGTCTACGTAGTGCAAGGCAGTCAGCCAAAAATGAAGGACTGTGTGGAAGAGAAGTATGGTGCTGTTATCCCACAGTAAAAAATTGTTACTGAAACAAACTCACTAATTTATGGCTAGCCTGTGGATAGCAGAGGAGAATTTTTCTTTAAAAGTACTTAAGTACTGAAAAATTCACTCTTGATTATAGCCATGTATACTGCCCATTTAGTATCAGTCACCCTTAAATCCTTATAGCAGGATTTACGTATAACTATGTAAATTTAGTGCAAACACATGTTGATGCAGCATTAAGTTTGCTTAGTGGGAATATATGGACAGTCAGCTTATACCATTGTTGGTTTTTTTTTTTATTCCATTGTGATCAGATTACTCATGAAGTACATTTTTATGGTACTCCAGCACCATTAATAAGACTACAGAGCTGGGAGGAGACCTGTTCGATAAGTGGTTTGTAGTCTTTTTCATTTGTGCTCATCTGAATGTTCTCTGGTGGAGATGCAGATCCCTTTAGAGATTCCAAACACGTATATTTCTTTATAAAATACATCAGTGATTTTTAACCACCTTTTCCAGACTAGAAATAGTCCATAGAGCACCCAAGGATCAAAAATAGAATTTGGAAAGTCACTGTTTTAACTCACACCTGTTATATACTACAATGATCAATTTCTTGCTTACCTACTTTACAGATACTTTACTTTCTTCCTCTCCACTTGTAAGTTAGTGCTTTTTGTTCTTTTGTGTCACTGAAAAGCTGGAGAGGGACTTTTTACAAAGGCATGTAGTGAAAGGACAGAGGGTGATGGCTTTAACCTGAAAGGGGGTTGATTTAGATGAGACATTGGGCAGCAGTTCCTGGCTGTGAGGTGGTGAGGCCCTGGCCCAGGTTGCCCAGAGGAGCTGTGGGTGCCCCCTCACTGGCAGTGCCCAAGGCCAGGTTGGACGGGGCCTGGAGCAGCCTGGGCTGGTGGAACTGTCCCTGCCCATGGAGGTTGGAACAAGATGAGTTTTAAGGTCCTTTCCACCCAAACCAGTCTGTGATTCTGTTGCATATAATTTATTTATTTATTTATTCTTTTTTTGGTGAACCTCTGCAAATTTGTCAGAACCTCTGAAGTAGTAAAGTAGTGAGCACACTACTTTGGGATACTGCTGCTCCTGACATCAAACTGTACCTGTTGGCTGCTTATGTATTTAATACAGGTGCCTTTGCATATACACAGTATATGTAACGTACTGTAACTGGTCTAGAGAAAATACAATGTACTTTGAGTTAGCCCTTAGGAATCATCAGTTGTCATAAACAGCTGGCCTTTTCTGAGTCAAAAAAGTTAAGCTGGGTAGAGGGTGACAACACTGCCTTATGACAATTCAGAAATACAATATTGCACTCATTAATGGTTCAGATTTAGATTATTTTAATCATAACTATGAGTTAGAAATGTTTTGTTTTTAAATTTCTGACTAAGGATGGTTTGGGTTAGATTTTTCCCCGAAACTTAATGTCTACCTGAGGCAACACATTGAAGACGTTTTATAATTTGCTGAAATGTAACATTTCAGTCTCTTAAATTTGATGTCTGATTAGAATTTGAATAGGCTCTGATTGCTGTCAGGGTCACAGTGAGAATGGATCGTGTGGTGTGGTGTTTTGAGGTCAGTATTTAATAAGGATTGGGCATTCTGGAAGAACGGTGTAGAAAACAAATAAAGCTCGTGGGTCTCTATTCTGCCATTCTGTGCAAGTTGATTAGTGTTGTGTGGGGGAGGATGGATCTCTGTCATAGTCTGGGCTGTATGATTTCGCTTTTTCTGGTTCTACCTGTAAGTTTTACCGTGAACGTGAATACTGTAAGCATCTTCTGTTTGAGCTCACTAGCACACTGATGTCTTAAGTGCAACTTAATGAGCACGTACATATGTTTCTCAGTATCCTAAAAGATGATACACATGAAATCTTGACTGGGTGTCAAATCCATATTCATTTGCGAAGACAAAAAGATGCTCCATCTTCTTTATTCTCTCCCTTAACATGTTTGAACGCTTTGATAAGATCTGCCCCCCTGGCCTGAGCCTGCTTTGCTCTGGTCCCAACTTTCTCAGCCTTTCCTCATCAGAGCGATGCTCCTGCCCTTTGCTGTGCTTTATCCAGTGGCTCCAGTCTTGTACTGGAGTCCAGACTGGACACTTCAGTATCACTGTTGTAAGAGGAGCCTGCCGTTGAGGTCGCATAAGATCATTTACTCTTATTTTTTTTTTTCCTAAAAATATTAAATTCATGGCAGTACAGATAAAAGCAAAGGGTCTTTACCTAAGAGGTGGTAAATATAATCCTCTGTAGTAGATAGGAATTGTGAAAAGGGGAAGAGAAATAGTGTGGGGGTGTGGATTTTGTTTTGTTTTAGAGAGGTGGATTTTTTAAGGGCTTATGTGTTAATGCTTTAACAAATACCAGGAAAGTAGTGCTTCTTTCTTGTCCAATGATTTGCTGACTGTGGCAGATCCTTTCCGTCCTTTATTCACATTTCAGTATTTGTTTTATGGATAGCTTCAAGGAGTCCTAGAATTTTGAATTTGGTATTTGTTTTAAATTAATTTTTTAATACCCAGATATTTTTCAGAATGCTTCTCACGGAAGCACACTATTTAGTTTTACCTTCATTGCATAGCTCTGGACTTAAAACGGCTCTTCTTGGGAAATTCATAGTGTTCTTAAGAAAGGGCTGGAATGTGAATAAATGTACTCTGAATATTGGGGGGAAATTGATCTTATACCCATGTAGTGTGATGACCAACCTAATTATAGGCCCATCAGTGTGACATTAATCCTGATTTAAATAGTAGGATGTCTGGCTTATTACTCAGTAGAAAGTGAGGGTTATTTGCTCAATGCAAATGAACACTGGTATGTGAAAAATGTATTTGTCAGACAATGATATAAAACGATATAAAACCATTTACTTAAGCAGAAATGTTACAGAATCAAGCTATACACACTAAATAAATCAAGCCGCAGACAAGGAGAAATTAAGCAGCTTTGTTATTAGTGGGGTGCCAGGCAGCTGGACCAGGTGATCATTGTAGGTCCTTTCCAGCAGAACTATAACATTTTAAGAGAGATTTGTCTGGGTCTGTGTCTGTCTGTACTGCTGTTTTATGGATAGGTTAAAAATAATGTAGCAGCTGACAGAAAAAGAGGGGATTTGGTAAATGAAGAGAAGGGCCAGAGTCTGAGAGAGAATATTTAAAGGTCATGACCAGTAGTTACATGATTTTTCAGCTCAAAGCCAAGGAGATTCAGGTGATCCTTAAATACATGAACAGGGGAATCTCAAGTGGAGTAGAGGCATTTTGTCATCTCTTTATTTAGTTTTGGTCAAACTACTACAACCATCTTTACTCAGTTATTCACGCTTGATAAGTGTATTGATAAGCTGGAGTAGTTCAATGAACAGTCGTGGGCTGATAAAGACACTAGAACAAATGTTCTTTAACGATGGATTCAAAGAAAGTAAAGGTAAAAAGGTGACTTGATAAATTTACAGATTACTTAGGTGAGAACTGTTATTTGGTAAGAGAGATTTTTCTGCCTAGCAGATGAAAGGAAAACTAATACAAAAGCAGATTAAGTAAATTCATTGTCTGAAGACAGAAATTCAGGTGGTGAAGTGTGATTATCAACTAGTGTCAATGATGAACTGTTGTAGTTTGCCAACTGTTGTGGAAAATGTCACTGACTATCCTAATTTACAAGTTCAAAGCAAAATTAATTCAGGGAACGTCTTACAGTATGCAGTAAGTCCTCAATAAATGATCACATTCCTTTTGGCTGTGTAAGCTCAGAACGTATTCTAATGTTTAGAAGGTCACTGAAATGCAAAACCTGCTTCATAAAATAAGAGTCAAATGAGAGAAAAATTCAGCTTCCTTTTAATGATTTCTCAGATTAAAAAAAAAAAAGCTAAATTCAGTCATCTGTTTATTTCTATTGCAATTTAAAAGCATAACCCATGAAAAAAGTGGAAATACTTCCTTTCTTCAGCAGATGCACAAGATACAGATCTAAATGGAAACATGCTTTTATTGCAACTTCATGTGTTCCCCTACATTGGAACATTTTCATTTGTGAACATACTGTATAAGTAAAATTTCTAAAGAGTAGTGAGTCTTTCCAGGACTCGATTGTATAGCCTAGTGTTTAATTTGAATTGTGTGTCAAAGGCTCGGAGCTTTGACCATGCAAAATCTTGGAAGGATTGATGTTCTTTGAAAATGTAATGTGCAGTGTGGTTGCTAATAAGCAGACCTTGATCCTTCTTGTTACCCTTCACAATAAATCTCTAAGCTAGTATTGATAAACGTGATGGGGTTTGGGAAAGCTTCCCTGAATGCTCGGGTCAAACAAAAATGTTTGAACAGTATCTTTCAATTTGTGTTTTCAGGTAACCCAACTTTGAATCCATTATCTATGCTGAGAAAATGTGAAGCAAAGGATTCTTCACTTGAGCCAGATACTTCTACACCCACAAAGAAGAAGAAGGGATGGCCAAAAGGGAAAAGCCGAAAACCAGTCCACTGGAAGAAAAGACCTGGTCGAAAACCAGGTTTTAAACTGAACCGGGAAAAGGTGCCACCATCAGTTCAGGATGAAGATGATGATGCAGTAGCAGCGAATTCAAAACCGGGGCGTAAGCCCAAAATTTCAGACACAGAAGAAAGCATTGAGCAGAAAGAAGAGCTGCCCCTTACTGAGGAAAGGAAAGAGGAAGATGCGAATATGGAAGCAGAAGAGGTAGGAGAGGGAGAAGAGGAAGATACAGGCAGCAGTGAAGTAAGAGCAGTGTCTCCTGTGGACAGCAACAGCAGTCCAGTGCCAGAAGTAAAAGAGCCTGAGATAGAAGAGGAGGTAGAGGAGAAGCCACGGGTTTTAGAAGAGCAAAGGCAATCAGAAGAAGAACAGCAAGAACTAGATGAACCTGAGCATGACCATGAGGAAGAAGAGGAAGTTGCAGTAGTGACAAATCAAAATGAAGATCATGATGCTGATGACGAAGACGATGGTCATCTGGAGTCTGTGAAGAAAAAAGAATTGGAGGAACAGCCTGTTAGAGAAGGGGTAAAGGAGGAGCCTCAGGTGCAGGAATGTTTTTTAGAAACAAGCATACCAAGCAGTAGAGAAGATGCAAAAGAAAAGGATGAAGCAGAGGCAGATTCTGAGGAAGAGCAGGCTTCCAATGAGACATCGATGGGCTCAGAGCATGTCCCAGGGTCTGAAGATGATCACGAGGAAGAGCAAAGTAATAAAGAAGGGTTAATTGAATTAAAGGAAGAGGAAGAGATTCCTCATAGTGAACTGGATCTTGAAACTGTTCAAGCAGTCCAGTCCTTGACACAAGAGGAAAGCAATGAGCATGATGTAGCTTACCAGGACTGTGAAGAAACACTTGCAGCTTGCCAGACTTTGCAGAGTTACACCCAGACTGAGGAGGATCCTCCGATATCAATGGTTGAAGATTGCCAGGCCTCAGAACACAACAGTCCAATATCCTCTGTTCAGTCCCACCCCAGCCAGTCTGTGCGTTCTGTCAGCAGCCCAAATGTGCCTGCTCTGGAGAGCAGTTACACCCAGATAAGTCCTGAACAAGGATCCCTGTCCGCACCCTCTATGCAGAACATGGAGACCAGCCCCATGATGGATGTGCCTTCAGTATCGGACCACTCTCAGCAGGTGGTGGATAGTGGCTTCAGTGACCTTGGCAGCATTGAGAGCACTACAGAGAATTACGAAAACCCCAGCAGCTATGACTCCACTATGGGAGGCAGCATTTGTGGAAATAACTCTTCCCAGAGCAGCTGTTCATACGGAGGACTGTCCTCCTCCAGCAGCCTCACTCAGAACAGTTGTGTTGTCACTCAGCAAATGGCAAACATTGGCAGCAGTTGCAGCATGATGCAGCAAAACACTGTCCAGCCTGCAGCAAACTGCAACATCAAGTCACCTCAGAGCTGTGTAGTGGAAAGGCCTCCAAGTAACCAGCAACCGACAACACAGCCACAACAGCAACAGCCTCAGGCACAGCAGCCGCAGCCCCCACCTCCACCCCAGCAGCAACCTCCACTGTCTCAGTGTAGCATGAACAACAGCTTCACCCCAGCACCCATGATCATGGAAATACCGGAATCAGGAAGCACTGGTAACATAAGTATCTATGAGAGGATTCCAGGGGATTTTGGTGCTGGAAGCTATTCACAACCATCAGCCACATTCAGTTTAGCCAAGTTGCAGCAGCTGACAAACACCATTATGGACCCTCATGCCATGCCTTATAGCCATTCTCCTGCTGTGACTTCCTATGCAACCAGCGTTTCTCTGTCCAACACAGGACTGGCTCAGCTAGCTCCCTCTCATCCGTTGGCAGGCACACCACAAGCACAAGCCACTATGACACCCCCACCAAACCTGGCGTCCACCACCATGAACCTCACGTCACCTCTGCTCCAGTGTAACATGTCTGCGACCAATATCGGTATTCCACACACGCAGAGGTTGCAGGGGCAGATGCCGGTCAAGGGGCACATTTCCATCCGCTCTAAATCAGCACCACTGCCCTCTGCGACTGCCCACCAGCAGCAGCTCTACGGCCGCAGCCCACCCGCAGTTGCCATGCAGGCTGGCCCCCGTACATTAGCTGTTCAGCGGGGTATGAACATGGGAGTCAACCTAATGCCGACCACCCCTTACAACGTTAATTCCATGAATATGAACACCCTGAACGCCATGAACAGCTACAGAATGACACAGCCTATGATGAACAGCAGTTACCATAGCAACCCTGCCTACATGAACCAGACAGCACAGTATCCTATGCAGATGCAGATGGGAATGATGGGGAGCCAGGCCTATACCCAGCAGCCTATGCAGCCAAATCCTCATGGAAACATGATGTACACTGGCCCCTCCCATCACAGCTACATGAACGCTGCTGGGGTGCCCAAGCAGTCTCTCAATGGACCATACATGAGAAGATGAGCAAGATGAACTTGCATCCTAAAAACTGAAATATATATATAAATAAAGGAACCTTTTATACTGACGAACCAGAGAAAATGGACCTTTTTCCAGTTAAAATATTGCTGTAGATTTAGAGGGATTTTCTTTGGTTTATTTTATTTTTTAGGAAGCCTGGTCTTTATTTTTGGGAATTTTTTTGTTTTGCGTTTTTCTTCTCTTCACAATCCTGAAACATTTTGCAGCTAAAGTCATTTACAGATGTTTTTAGAGGGGAAAAAACATGCACAAAAATCTTTTCATAATTTAAAAAGAGCCTTACTTTGCTGACAATGTGGACAGAATATGTGTAACAGTGAAATCACCTTTCTAAATTTTTTTTTATGTATGTCCTCCTCCCTTCCCTGTGCCCCTCTGTATGCAGTTTCTAGTGCTGCAGTCATGTAAAGTGTTTGACATCTGAAAGAATAACAACCCTTCCCTCTAAACCCCACCTCACATTTCCTACTTCTAGCAGGAGGCACTTATTGGAAGGGGACACAGAGGATAATGAACCTCTTTATTTCTGCAAGTCAGGAAAAAATTTTCATCTTTAATTTTCCCTGACTCCCTTGCCCTCAGTAAATTTGGAGTTGTGTAAACAATAAACTATTCACATTGGTGTTTTTGTAGACGAGTTAATTGAAATTGTATGTCTCATGCTGAAAATATAATGTAACTTTAAAATGATCCCATTCACCGCCCAGACATGCATGTGCACACGTGTGCGTGCATGCTCACATGTTCTGTCACTCCGAACTACTGGAAGTATCTCAAGAGAGAACTTGCATCACTGGAAGCATCACGAGGAGGATAGGGTGGTTCGTGGTCTGTTAGGACAAGAAAATCATTGCAGGCTCTTCTGGTGAACTCTGAGATGCCAAACTCTGCTGTAGTGCATACTTGGAAATGCTGAGGGTCTTGGTTCTGAGCCTTTGAGCCAGGCTGAGCTCGGGAGCGGCTGTTTCCAGGGGTCTGCTCTGCACCTCTTCACTGGGGCAGTCTTGGAAGGGGAAGTGTGCGTTCTAAGCCGCTCGAGGAGAGCCCTGTGCTGTCCCTGCCCCTCTCCCGTTCCTGGTCCGGGGTAGGAAGTCGCTGAATGTGCCGTGCTCTGGGGGAGTCAGTGATGTCTTCCCTGGTTCTCCCATCATGTTTGAGACCCATTTTATAGGAACAACCACACTTTTGATCTGGTGTGGGAAAAGAAGGGAATTGGCCTGTTTTGCCCAAGTGAAGCAGCCCAAACACCATAGCAGGCGGCGGGATTTTGCTGTTTATTACCGCATAATCCAACTTACATTCTCTTTTGGCTACGCTGCTGGCATGTCACCCAATACAAAAAGGGACACACTTTAATGTAAAGTTCTTTTTTTTATTGTATATGAAGTAGAAATACAGACACATTAATAAGACTAATTTCTTTTGTTTTTAAACCAAAAGAGTCTAAAAGAAAGTTGGGGTTTCTTCAGATGCACTAAAATGGACTTTCCTCCAATAACTGCTAACCATAAAAGGCAGAATTCAAAGGACTTCCACATTTTATTTCTGTTTAGTTTTGAGCATGTACAAGGCTGTGTAGGACCCCATTTCTCTGTATATACTATTCCAGTTCCAAATAACCCGTGTAGAAAGCGCACTGTGCTGCCCTCTGTCCCTAGATCTTCAGCTGTGTCACTGCTCCCCGGTTGTAGGGGTGGGTGGGCAG